ACCGGGGCGCGGTCGAAGTACTCCCCAGAAAAGTAGGATGTAACTGGGTGGGTGGGGTAATAACATCATGTATGAAGCGGGGCGGTGACCAATCAGGGTCAGGGTCAGCATGCTGGGTAAGATGTACGTGTGGGGAATATGGAGAAATGTATGGGGTATCATGTGGTGGGGTGCCTGAAGTCGAAGGACCTGCTGTGGCTGGCGCTGAACTGGAAGGCACTGACGTGGACGGGACTGATGTGTCTGGAGCACATAGCGCTATCCACTGCTCCGTCGTCAATGATGGGTCAAGTCCAGTAACTGCTCGCCCATCAATCGGTAGACCGTATAGGACAGATACGTCCTGCAATGTGACGGTGGCCTCACCGGTCGGGAAATGAAATGTATGAGTCTCTGTGCGCCATCTCTCGACGAGAGCAGTAATGAGTGGGTGGTCCAGTCTGATATGGCCTATACGATATACACCATAGAATCCCGCGTGTAGTAGACACTGCAAGACTCTATGGTCCAATGGACGATCCCACAGGCCGGAATCTCCCTGTCGGCATGCCACCACGGTGCGTGACTGGTCCTGCATAATAGAATGAGTATTTTAAATTATAGCATTATCAAGGAAATCAAAAACAAAATGCAGTGTATTTTCATTGTACGCGTAAAGTCCAACAAACATTATTGCATACCGGGTCTTCCCATATACTGTCAGCCCGATGTGGATGACTCAAAAGGGGGACCTCATCAGGTAGATGTGCCATGAAGCCTGTACAGTTGAAAAACAAATACATTTTGAAAAACTGTATTGGTGAGCATGTAATTTAACTATATCAATTAAGCTCAAATTATTATGTACATGACGACTTGGAAAATAAATGTGGTCGATTATTTTAAAAGTATAAATTTGTGTGCCATTAACATGGAAGCAATTAACTAAAATCAGAATTTTGCATATTATGTGCCATTAAATATGATAAGCAATTCAACATAACCTATCGTTATCTATGCTTCAGACTAATATGAAAATCTTTTACAAAGTCATTTTACGATCTCAGTTACATAAGCTTAATAATGACCAATAACATGTGGATAGTTTTTGTATGTCAATATTTACAAAAAAATGGAATGATCATTTTTTTTTCAAAACTTCATTATTGATTTTGGCATATTTGACAGAACCTCATTATTGATTTTGACATATTTGACAAAACTTCGTTACATTTATGGCATATTCGACAACTTCATTATTGATTTTGTAATTTTTGTTTTGCAATAAAGTAAAAAATTTGTAAATTACGTACATGTAATTCATAAATTCTAAATGTACAAAATGCTTGAATCAGTCGAAATATTAAAATCTTAAAATGAAAGAAGAACTATGTGATTTTAAATAAAATTCTGTAATAAACATTTTCAATGATGTAGAGAATAAAAACTATGATAGTTGTAAATTTTGTCAAGCAAATAAAACAATTACAATCTATAAAGAATTAAACAATAGAAATGATCTATTACAAATAAAAAATGTTCTATTAAATGTATGACCCCGTTTACAAATAATGAATTACAAAAGAAAAGAAAATGATCTATTACAAATAAAGAATTACAAAAAGATCTATTACAATATGTAAGTATTACATAGTCTTCATCGACCAAGTCGCGCCGGATATGTTCGCCTGTCATGACCTGTCTGCTGGCACTCACTGCAACGAGCGGTCAAACGCTTATCTGATATGTCCATCTCATTCGAAATACGAGACATAGATGCACGACCCCATTTCACTTGTCGCAGACGCAGTACATTAGGCATTAAAGTCCACTGCGAATCAGCCCAATAATCTTGATGTGGTATTGGATTGAATTTAGTTTCCGAAACCCTCATGTATACAGGAAGCCTATATACTAGATCAACGTACTCGAATGGATTGTCACCGCATTCAGACATTACAGCGAGCATATGAGAACATGGATAGTGTCGTATCTCATATTTCCCACAACTGCACGTGGGTTGATTCATCCGCACAATTTGTGTAAAGAGTGTGAAAATCACTGCTGTTATAATATATGTTGATACACTAATTAGTATGTTAATTGATACATATAACACTACTAATAAATTAATAAAAGAAAATTAAACAAAGAAGAAAGAGAATTTATGCTCGTATGCATACCAGGAAAGTAATTGCAGGGAAGACATTACCTCTACGACATATAGATTTATATTACAAACTAACCTGTCATATGATATCAACTTGAAAGTATTTGCCTTTGCGATGCCATCCTCAATAGTTTTTTGCATCTCTCTAGGGTATTGGAACTCATTTCTTACATCTATTTCAGCTTGGGCTCCCATCTCGTCAAAATATTTTACAAGCCGCCGAAATGTAAATTCAACCATAGCTGAGATAGGTAAGTTCCTTGCACCTTTCAAGACGCTATTGAAGCACTCTGCATCATTGCTAGTCAATACCCCCCAGCGATGTCCACCGTCATACGAAAGGGCCCAGTCCTCAGGATTCATCTTGTAAACCCAAGTGATGGCTTCTTGGTCAATAGCCTGTATTTGTTGTAAGTAACCATTACACTTTCGTCGTTGATGAGCACTTCCTGCTTTCCATAGAAGTTGTTTCAGCTCCTTATTTTTGAACGTAGTGTTAAAGTTACTACAAACATGTTGAAGGCAATGCCGATGATATCCAACAAATTGGAGCGAGGGATTCAACCAATGCCGCCTCACAGCAGCTAAAATACTCTCAGCTCGATCGGATATCAAAGTCACTCCCTGTCGGTCCATGACAATATGTTCCTTGATATTTGAAATGAAGAACGACCAAGACTCCAAACTCTCCTTGTCGACAACAGCAAATGCAAGCGGTAGTACTTTGCCATTGGCGGTGACAATCGTTGCTACAAGCAACACACCAGTGTATTTCCCGTATAAGAATGTACCATCTATGGTTATAACAGGCCTACAATGTCTGAATCCATCGATGACGGGTTTGAAAGACCAAAAAACAAAGTGAAAGACGGACATAATGGTTGTATTTCCGGTATATCTATGCTTCCATTACACGATGGTGCCAGGATTAGATGTTTGTAATGCATACATGAATTTAGGCAACATCATATATGATTCATCCCTATCTCCGAATACCATTCTAATTGCCTTTGCCCTTGCATGCCACGCCTTCTTGTAATGTATAGCATAGTTCATGGACTTTTTTATGTCTTCGATGACATTCTTAATGGGCATATCAGGTTCGTTCTGCATACAACAATACCTATGAGTCAGATTATTTTGGTGTGAACACTTTAAAGACACAATTTTGGTGTGAACACTTTAAATAAACAATGTGTATATAAATGTAAACGTTTATTTTGTATACTCACCGCAACTTGTCCCAAAAGATGAGAACAATGTAACTGGAGCTAATATTTGTGTGGTCCCTGTTACGTTTCGTGGGTAAAACAATGGTGAGGGACCCTATACTGCTTTAATTCAAGAAAGCCATGTCTCTATATAAGAGATGCAAACGCACCATCCATTCTATACAGCATCGTGCTTGCAAGCCACGACTATCATCTCAACGTCGATTGGAGAGTTACGGACTATTATATTCTCTCATGACTTATATTTGTTGCAGTAGCGTAACTCACTAATGATTTAACAGCATTTGACGCCAGTTGCTACTCTTATCAACGAAAAACCATCCTCTTGTCCAACTCTGGAAAGGATATTCTCGTCACTTTCCAGATTCGGTCTTCTACGGGGAACGCATTGCAAGGTTACTACACTGTCAAAAAATCACACCAAAA